TTTTATCCCCTTTCTCCTGCTCTTCCGGCCTGGTACTCTGGACATCCCTGAGTTGTCTTTCCCCACTTGTAACCCTGGGGTGACTCTAAGTAGTCAAAACATTCATCTAATAGCCTGACAGAACTAAAAGGGTGTAAAATATTGGTAGTAGGCCTAAACATGAAGCATTGAAAACTCTCCTCCACACACTATTGTGGGACTACTTATTTCCTTACTTATTTGAAAAATATTTTATTATTACACAAAGTAGACCTGTTGACTCTGAGACACTGCTTCACCTTCAGGTAAAGGGACCTTCAGTGCTCACAGGTGTGCAGAACATGTTCAAGAGGGCCATGCTGTCCATTGCAGCTAAAATCAGGAGAAATGTAGGCATTGAACTAAGAGTGGATAATGGATTGTAGCAAATGAATACAAGGCATTTGACTGCTAACCAGAAGGCTGGTGGTTCAAACCCACCAACCTTCCATAGAGATACCGCCTCAGAAACCCAAGGAGGGGTCACTATGAGTCAAATCGACTTCAGAACAGTGAGTTTTTTTTTTTTTAATGGAACAAAAGGAACAAGTATCACAGATAAAATAATGCACCAAGAAGGAATATGTCACAGAAAAGAATGAACAGAATGGAAAAATTTAGATAAAATCCAAAACAATACAAAATTGACTAAAGCATATTTTGCATATTCTTAGGTAAGTGTTAAACTCAATGAAAAGCCAGTTAATGAGAAATCTAGACTTCAGGTGAGGTTACCTGGAGGAGATGGAACAGACTGATGGCATCTGAAGAGTGAATAGGACTTGAAGTTTTCATGATAATCTCTCTTCAGCTGATCAGTACATGCAAAAGTACATGACTTGTTGTTTTTCCATGTGCATTGCAGAAATGTGGTCAATGTTACTTCATATCGTGGAATAAATTTCCAGGTAGAGTAGGTCCTGCATGACCTTAGGAGTGTGGTACAAGCTGTGATTGATACACAGCAACTTGTATTGTTTATTACAGGGTCTGGAGTGGGGAGGAGAAGGGGAAAAGGCCAACTGATATATTAAAAAAGAAATCAATACAGTGGGGTGTTTGCAAATATTCAGTGAGAGACCAGCATCAGGGAAGAAAAGAAAAGTGCTCGAAAGCTCACACTAGTTGTTTCAACTGCTAGAGCACAGCCCCTCCCTCACCTTGTGGGAGGCTGGGTCTCCCGCCCACAGCTGCTGTGAAGAGTGTTGGGGTGAGCATGTCACAAGCAGGTTGTTGATGGGATGAGGAGCCTTAGAAAAAGGCCACCAGCCCTCCTTCCCTGAGCAGCCATGGGCCCCACACTTCTCTGCCTGGCAGCCCTGTGTGTTCTGGGAGCAGGTCAGTCCTGTTGACCTTGGTGGACTCCACTGTCAGGACGTGCTCCTGGGGCTGCAACACCAGGCTCCTCCTGAGCTGTTCTCCAGCTTCTGTCTCCTTCCCTCACAGGCTCCATGGATGCCAGGGTCACCCAGACTCCAAGACAGCTGGTCAGAGGAACAAAACAGAAAGCAAGGATGGACTGTGTCCCCATGAAAGGACATGACTATGTTAACTGGTATCGTCAGAAGCTGGGGAAAGAGCTGGAGTTTTTGATTTACTTTAACAATGAAAAAGCCTTGGATACATCAGGGATGCCCAAGGAGCGGTTTTCAGCTCAGTGTCCCAAGAACTCTCCCTGTAGCATGGAGATCAACTCCACGGAGCCCGAGGACTCAGCTGTGTATTTCTGTGCCAGCAGCCTGTCCACAGTGCTGTAGTGCCAGCTGGTCCTGGAACACAAACCCATCCTGGCCAGCTCAGGAAACAGGTGGGACATGAGGCTGGTGAGAAGTAACAGAAACCCGATGCGAAGGAGCAAACACCCATGGGAAATTCTATAAAGGAAACTCTCGGGGAGCAGACAGGGATGTCTACACAGCTGGTGGGACAGTCCCCAGGGGAGAGGTGAGAAGGTGAAAAAAGGCCCTGTTCAGTGTATGTGATCCTTGCACAGGAAATGGCATCCAACACTGAGAAAGTGGAGATGTTTGTGGGCACCACTGAGACTTGGAGAGTAAATTCCAAAGTAGATAAGAAAGTCAGATGTAATGATAACCCTGTTCACAATGCAGTTTGAGGACTTCTGGGAGTTTTTTGGAAGATCTGGATTTGCATGCTGATGTTTTTGGTTTCTCTAATTTTGTTTTCTTTTATTCTTCAGCTTTACTTTCATATAGTCTATTTTCCTTCTATATTCATTTGAATGTGAAATGGCATCATTTTTTGCATGTCATCCTAAGACACAGGTTCTTAATCAGAGCACACATGGCAGAAGTGAAAATACCCAGATCCCGTCTTGCTACTCAGTGTTTATGATCCTGAGACTACTTCACAAGCTAAAGACAGAAAAGTGCTCATCAGACCACTGTGATGAACCTTGGCAAGGTGTGAAAATAAGCATCCATCACCCAAGGATGGCGTTATTATAAGATGCATCATTGGGTCAACTCTACACAGCCAACTGATGTAATTCACCACAATGAAAGCTTAAAGGAGACAAAAAGCATTGTGTCATTAAGAGAGGTATTAAAACAATAAATAATATCTGTTATCATTCAAGTATTAGAAACACCTTTACAAACAAGGAATGTAAGTGAATTGCATTAGACCTATTAAAGGTTGCTATGGGCAATTCCTCATCCAAGCATTCTAACAAGTCAAAGACAAATGTCAAAACCACTCTCCTTAAATTGGGAACAAAACAAAGAGACCAGTCAGTTTTATTTGCAGATACCAACCACAAATAGAAGATGCATTAAAAAAAAAAAAAAGAGCGACAACATTTACAAATTGTAATATAAAATATCAAGGTTCTGGAACAAATCTATCAGAAGACATGTAGGATCCTAGTGGGGAAAGTTATTTTTATATAAAACAGTGAATGGTATTTTAAGCGTCTGAAATAACTGGAGGGATATACCATGTTCATGAACAAGCACATCCAGCAGCAAAGTATCCCAATGCTCTACGATATGATCTTTGTACTCAGTGCAGCACCAGTCAAAAGCCAAAGGGCATTTGTTTCATGGAATTTGACAAGAAGAATCTAAAGTTTATGTGGAAATAAGAGGCAACAACAAACAAGATAATCTTGAAGAAGTACACCATGAGGTGACTATCTAATTATTTTGTAATTTCAGACAATAAAAGAGTCATAAATAAATATACCAATGGGAAATAATAGTAAGGTGAAAATTATAAGCAGAAATAAATCAAGAATTAAAATAAGTCCAACAACTGAGGAATGGATAACCAAACTATGGTACAT